GGGGTGGGCGGGAAAGCAGTGTTTGTTTGTTTTAAATGTGGATACTATTTTAAGCACATTAACTGTATATTCCACACATACAGCCTTATATATGAATAAATATGTAGTGCATATATGTAATGATAAAAAATACATTGTAGAAATTAATGTGTATATAAAAATGAATCCATTTAGCCACTTTAAATCTGCTGTAAAGGGCTTTTTTTTTTAAAAAAAATTAAATTAAGCCACAGATTATTACTGAAAAAATGAAATATTAAGTAATGAAATCAAACAAAATAAAAGGTTTTCTCTCATCTGACTTCTGTGACAATTACTAACTTCTCAAAGCTTACACAGAAGAGAAACTGTATTCTATAGACATCTTACCACTTGATTAAGTGTATCTTCCAATTCTGCTTCTTCTGGGTTCTTTGAGCTGCAATCAAAGAGGGCATTTTTAATAAGTTCCAAAACTGCTAAAGTAAAACAACACCTGGATGCATACGGAAATGTCATAAAGGCAGGCATACAGACTGAGTAGTTCTGGGATCACAGACTCTTTAGAGGAAACGGTGTAATGAAATGAACACTCCTCTTCACTACCCCACACATAAGCAATTCTGAAGCATGTTTTTCAAACAATAGGTTGAACTCCTGGACCAGGAATTGCTTGGCACTTCCTGATAGCCTGGATACCCCTCAGGATTTATGGGCTTAAACACAGATCTCCCTCTTCCTGCCTTTTTTCTGCTGCTAAATGCCCTCTTCATTTCTTATCTTAGTACAGTGAAAACAGCTTGAGAGCTGGGTCTTGACTGGGCAAGAGCTCAGGTGGCACCACATTGTTCTCCTCCGTACTATGCTGGTCCATGAGGCATACCCCAACTCTACCCTGCAGAAAGCCACCATTTATAAATGAGAAAACAAATCCTCTCCTGAAGGAAGGAGGGAATAGGGAAGGGAAAAGCGAGCAAGTTATTCCGGGTTTGGGTTGGTTGTTGTTGGTTTTTTTCCTCCCTCAAAGCAGCTAGAGAAGTCACCAGTGACAAAACTGACGCTAATCCAGTACGGACCGAACTGATACTAACTCAATGTATGATCCGCTGAATCACTTGAAGCCAAATACCTTAAATTATGAACTGCGGGAGGTCAGAAAGCAGTTTTTGTCCTTCTCAATTTCTGCCCAGATGGAAGAAAATACAAAGAAAACAACAGGAGGAAAGCAAGAGTTTTAAAGGGAAAAGGGAAGGCGTGTCTCTTCTTTACAACATAAAACACAACCCAAATTTGGGGGGAAAACCCCTCAAACTTAATAAACCCCTCCTGTTTTATTAAAAAGACAAAACTTAGTTTCCTATAAGGAGAGAAAGGTCTTAGATCTTTTATTCCTCCCTCTTTTCTTCAAAAAAAGAACAGTAAACTCCATATAATCTTCAGAAATGGTCCTACTGAAATTTTTGTATTCAGAATTTGGTATAATTTATTTGCCTTGAAACTGAAGTTCTGTTTCTGATGACGCAATATGAAACTTCGTATGCTAAAACCTTTTAAAACAAATGCCAACCTGAAGTAATAATTTGTCTTTGAAGACGTACCTTTTCTTTAGTAAAGAGTCACAGTATCGTGCCAGTAGCTCTGGGGATTTACTGGATGATTGAGCCATTTTTGTCACTGCATTATTATTTATAAATCGACCACAAGCCTATAAATCACAAAAGACAGTGAAATTTTGGGAGACAAAAGCACTGAATAGAAAAAAAACTAAAAACGTTCACCATATGCCACCACATATACTTACTTTGTCTAGTGCAGCCACAAAGCCAGCATCATTGTTGAATGCAGACATGACTAAAGCGTTATATTTCTTATGGACATCCAACACTGTCTGTACATACATTTTTGGATCCTGCAATAAAGAAAGATTGGGTTTTGCAACGCCTTGACTTTCTGCTTTCTGCTTCCTCCAGAATGGAGCTACTCACTGGCCTAAGCAAATTTTTATGGGGAAAGTCTACAAAGTATTAGAAATATTTTAAAGGTAAAATAGTATCCAGACTAGTCTAGGTCCTGTGCCCAGGACTGACTGACACTGGCACCAGCTTTCATTTACAGCAACCACAGTGCACAGTGTACTACATTATATAGTACAAAAGACAACAAAACCACTTACTCAACCCCTGCAAACATTTCCAGGAAGGACATAAGCTTAATTTGACTCAGACCTGAGAAAGCTGGACAATCACGCAATGGCAGTTACTATAGAAGAAACCCTTGAAACAATTCCCTAGCAAGAACATAGCAGGCATACCCCCAACAAGAACAACTCAGTACAGAGACTGCAGTCATTGTTGACTGTTCTTAAAAGTTATCTGCGCAACACCCAGTGGCAGCCAAATGCCAATAAACATCAGGTGTATGGCACTTGGACGAAGTTCTATGCACAGTTACTGATCTCTGCATCTCAATAAAGATGGAGTGGAGTCAGAGAAGGAACAGTGAAAGGCAACTAAAACAGCAAGCAGACAGGGCAACTACTACACAACAGACCAGGAAGTCTTCAATTTGGAGATCAGAAGTTTGGAAGGGCATATGGCCAAGGTTTACAAAATCAGGAAGATGACTGTAAAGATTAATGATCACCAAAAGCCACGTTTTATAACTATGGGGCACTTGATGAAAGTGATAAGAAACAAGTTTAAGACGGATAAAGCAGAGAACATCTTTACATGTAGTGGACTTCTGGAGCTGGCTGCCACAGGAGGCTGCTGGGAGCAGATATCACCAGCAGGTTCAAGAATGGGTTAGACAAATGGATGGACAACAGATCCACAGACAAAAACTAGAAGGAGTGGGCATGGAGGTAGTCCTGTAACATTCCTATCGCAAGAGTTCCAGATGCTGGCAATAAATGTCAGAAGATGGGCAGGGCTGTTTTTCAGGATCCTGAAAAACATCTCCCGTTGCCTCCGAAGACAAACATAGACTACGTGGACCATTGATATAATGCCAAACTAAAACCAACAGAAACCATCTCCACACAGTCCTATCAAAGTCAGAAGACCACAAGATGATGAAATAAAATACATTCCACTGGAGATAATGCTTTGAAACAGTGGACTTCCAGGGGTATTTGTAAGCGCAGCATTTGCACAGCCAGCTTCCCAAGCAGTGTTGACATCCTGACACAGAGCAAGAACTCAGAAGGAAAACAAAATCCCCAAACCAACCCACCACCCTAAGCCCAAAGGGCAGTAAAACAGTGGTGTGACTGTTGTTCTAAGCCTACCATCAACATTTGAGAATTGCCTGGTCCTCACAAATCAAATCATTGAGAGAGAAAACATAAGTAAACTGGAAACTGTATTCAGCAGCACTGCCCTCCTCTAATGTAAAACTGGCAGCAATCACACATAGACTTATTTTGATAGGATACTTGCATTTAGAGCAGCCTCTCCACATTTCTCGATTGCAGCTAGACCCTGATTATGAATGTGGGTTTCCAAAAGTTTTTTCAGCTCTCCAAGGCCATCCTGAATTCGAGATACGAGGTTATACATGCGTCCCAAGTCTGAAAAAGAAAAAGGAAAGCCAACATCTCCCATTTCTACTAGCTATGACTCCAATTCCTCATTTACAAGTTGCCAATAGGAGTTAAACATCCATGGTCAACCTAAACACACACGCAATTGCTCCTGTAAAAAGCCAGAAAAATCTACAGCAAAAAGTTACACAGTATAGAATAACTTTGTACTAACCTGGAAAGCTGAGATTGATTAAAGAGAAAACCACCTGTTAAACATTAAGATCTGTTTTACCTTCACAATGCTACATAAATCTCAAGAACAATAAAAACCCCAATTTAAATTATAGGAATATATTTACTTCTGATTTCTCATTTTCATAAAGAAGTGCAATGATTCAAAAAGGGAGTTAAATCCCTCTTATTTAGATCAAGTTTTGAAGTGTTGCCATGAATTAGGACTGTCATTAACATTACACTGCTGGCTGTGCTAAGAGCACAACGTTCTCCAGCTGACCACTGTCCTTTAAATCTTATTCTGAACAGGACAATTCTTGGAGATCTACCACCACCTGTAGCCTTTTGTATAGTAACACTTCTATTCGGGGCAGCATCAGTGGTAATGGTTGGAAATTTAAGGCAAAATGTTACGTATTGATATGACCTTAACAGATAAACTGAAACATTGTAAGGCAAATAAAGCACTGTCAATAAAGCCTTCTCGTAAAAAAAAAAACCACCACCAACATTTAAGTAACTGATTACCAGTAGAAATAATTGTATCTCAAGGAAAAGAAACGTCCTGAAAAGCATGACGATGGAACAAAACTAACAAAGGTAAAAAAATAAATTGGACGTCGCTTCACATATGTTAAAGCTTCACATTAAAGTCTCACCAGTTTTTGGCCAAGACATCCCCAAATTGACTAGTAATTTTGGAAAGTCTAATATTGAAGAAGGCTTTGGTTTTGTTATTCATTTTCAACAGGGCAGATGCTTTGTACTGTTTGAGTGCACAACTCTTGCTTTCTTTTAAAAGAAGAAAAGCCAAACTTTATTATGGCCATAAACCAGGGACACAAACCCACTAGTTACCTCTTGTAATCTTGCCCTCACTGAACAGGCATTCAAGTGAAACAACAGTAAACCACCAAATTAGTTACTGTAAAGTAATGAGGATATTTCACCTTGTTAAATCTACCTTAAGGTTGTCAGCTGCATCTACCTCTTCTAAAGTGTAAGGACTTCCCTGAAGGGCTTACCAGCAATTTATTACCACCTGAGGATTATCAGATTAAATAAAACAGAGCAACCAAGCAGCTGTATCAGTACCAAACTCTGAAATACAACACACAGAACTCGATGCCTTTAATACTGACGAGGTAACACCTCTATTCAGACCTGTTTCCATACAAGGTTTTCCATTCCTTAGCGCTTTGGCAAGCTTAGACTTTTGGATCTGAAAAGCAAACATTTTTTTTCCTCTCTGAAAAACCACATTTGCAACCTGATGTTAAACTTTTGTAACAGCGTAAGAATGCTGCGTTTTCACCTACAGAATTTTAGAAAAAAGTTAGGAAAACAATGCCATGCACAGATACAGTAATGTGCTGCTAGACCTACCCACAAATAAGGGTTCACAGATTGGTCTATCAGGATGTCTGTATTGGGTGAAATATGGAAGAGATGCTACGAAGCCTCAAGGAAGACTTACACAGTAACTCCACCTAAATCATTACAGCCTGCTCCCAATAAACGTAATTATTTCCTGTAGGTATCACACAGATGCAAATACGTAACACATGAAAAATGTGCCCCACAACCTTTATAACTAGTTGCACAATGAGATAAAAAAGTTACAGAGCACCAACAGGAGTGGCCTGTGATATGTTTAACGTACTCCACATGGGAGGACCTCAAACCCAGTGGACTTCCAAGAGCAAAGCAAAAGAGAGCAAGATTTTATTATAAATTTAGGACAGTCTACAACAGGCTATTTTAGTATTTTACAAATCAGAGTGAACTGATTATAGTGATTAAAGAATGAATTCTCAAAGCTTTCAAAATAAATGTTTCTAATCTTGAGACATCATGAAACTTAAAAAGGGCCAGGGAAGTACTGTAATTTGCACAAGTGAAGCTTGAAAAAAGAAAATATTTTGAAAAGTAATTAAAAAAAAAAATCACACATTTTAAAATGCCTAATTAAATCTTAGAAATAACCCAAACGAAAGTAAAACCACAGACATGTAACAAGATGGCGCCCAAGACACACGGTGGTACTTTTCCTTTTTCACCCCGACAGATCTGCGGAACAGAACGGCATGACTATGGCAAGTGACTGCATTAAAGGCTCCCATAACCCATGAGCTTGATAAAGTACAAGGTGGGGGGGGGGCAGGGCAGAGCCTGGGAAGGCCTCCTGAGTCCAGAAAAATGTTCTTGGTAGTACTATTACCAGAAGACACTTATGAAGTCATTTTACTAGTCAACACCCATCTGTATCAAAATCTCTTCCAACTACAGAGTAAATACATTTATTTACAAACATAAACAACATCTGACTCAAATACTAGCACAGGATAAAAATCTTCTATTTACGTTTGAAATGTGCCACTTCTGACCTGCTAATCGTGCTGCACTGCTCTTTTCTATTTTGAAGCTTCTCTTAGTTATCAGCATGGTGATTATAGTAATTATTCATAGTTCCTCTTTTACGGTTGATATATAAAGAGACAGAGTCACAGCTGCAATTCACAACACTCAAACGAACAGTATCATCAATAGTAACTTAATCACTTAATCTTAAATTCTGTCACTTTCTTCAAAGCAGTATTTCAGCTAGAGCTTACCTTGACCTCCTATATAGATTTAATTAATTCCCCAAGTGGAAAAATCAGAAACACCATTCACCCTTATCATCTGCACGATGCACAGGCATCACTTCGCCCTAGTTTTGATTGTTACTTTGTGCTAAGGATTACCTCCTGAGGAAACTCATAAAAACCAGTATGATTGACAATTCCTTAAAGATACCTGAACACTTTGATAATCTTTACTTATTTTAGAGGAACCTCTCAAGAGGTCTTTATTCTATGCGCTCTCTATGAACGTATAAACTTGAGCCAATAGTGGCATTTAAGATGAATTTTCACAGCTAAAATTATCTCATCCATTAATAATTTCCACCCTTTCCTTGTGCTGTAGACGAAGTTTTATATATTTTACATACTATATTTAGAAGCTCCTTATTTGCTTCTATTCCTCTTTTCACATTTTCTATGCATACTTCTAGACAACTTGGACTTTTAAATTCTCACTGCTGACTCAAAGATCCATGGATTAAACTGAAACAGCTGGTAAGTATACTGGTCTGGTTTTTGTCTCGCATCTCTCATGGAAGCTTCAACTCCTGCTGGAAGGATGGCTCAAGTGCTCTCGAAGCTCTTCCAACCACATTAAGAGAAATCAAAAGTAGTGCTGTTTTACCTTAATATTTAGGATTGGAACAGGCGTCTTGAGGCAATATCCTCAGCCGTCCCAATTTAATCAAAAGCTGCTTGTCCATCAGTTTAGTGTTTATCTTCCCTGTCATTCTAATTCCTGAACAAATCACATTTAGCTATCACCAAAATTCACATTATTCACAAACCGTCAGGGAGGAGTTCTAAGCCTAAAACCAATGTTTGAATCTCCTTACCTTCATTTTTGTCAGCATCCAACAAATTCTGAAACTCTGTATGAAATATCTCCAGGTGTTTTTCAATAAGTACTTGCTCACATTTTCGTGCTAACTCATCTTGTGTGCTCTCATGGAGATATACCTGAACTCTACGCTGTTCCTCAAGAAGGCGAGCTTCAGCCTACAGAACAGGGAGATAAATGTGAAACCCGTATGGAAGGCAGAACAGAAATCCAACAGCAGCAAACAGACAACTATTTAGAAACTTCATCTAGAAAACAACAACCACCACCACCAAACCTCTCACTAATGCGGTGTTATGATCCGCCTACTTAAGCAGTTATTTTTCTGGGAACTGATATACAAATGGAATCAATATTCATGTTGATGATAATTTTGGGGGGGGGGGGTGGGAAATCACAGCAAGATTGTTTTCCCATTGCTTCTGAATAAGATGTTTACAGATGGAAACCTGCTGTCAGAAAAAGAGAAAGCTGCTGACATGAGAGGCTGGCAGTTTTAGCATCAGCAAGCTCTCCAGCTACAGAGGTAGTTTTGTTTAAGACAAACATGAATATACTTCATGCCTCCACAAAACTAAAAGGCAGAAAATGACAATTTAACAGTATGCCCGTGACAAATTTATTTGAACGTTCGCATCCACATCCTTACACAGAAAAGCTTCTCAACAATCTACAATCATTTAAGTCATACTCGCATTTAATTTGGCATATGAAATGCTAAATACGCATATCTTCCTGGCAAATCAAAATTCTAAGTGTCACTCCCAGAACAGTACTTGTGCCAAAATGTAAAACTGAAGTTGTTTATATAGCAATTATCTCTATTTTGTTTGCAAAAAAGTGTTAAAGATTCACTTTACAAGCCATCTGTAATTGCAGCACATTATTAGGGATAAAGTGCATATGTCCCCTTATCAGTCCAAATTACTTAAATTAAGAATGCCACCAAGGAAATTAAGTTAATGCATTTTCCTAGTATTTTAGAATATTGACTAAGCACGGAAGATCAAATCATGGACGACGACAACAACAAAAAGAACAATTTCACTGCAAGTACACTGCATCATACACAGACGGCTTTAAATAATCTCTGCCACTGTTAGTGTCACTCATTTCTGCAATAGTTTTGCACTTTGCTCTTGTGAAATAGTACCGGATGACTGTCTCCTAGAGTTAAACCAGAACGGGTTAAAATATGGGAAACAAAATCAACAGTTTGGGAAGGGATATAAGCTCACGCTTCAGAGTACTTGCCAGTTTCTTACCAGTAAGGAGTGACAATTGACTTCCTTAATGACAGCAAGTCTTTCTGATGAACGCTGAAAACTTGATTAGACTAGTAGGATTACTTGTCTTACGTTTAACCAATTCTGTGTTTCTGTAGTTGAGGAAATTCTGCCACTTCTAATGCTATTTCTTAAATTATCCTCAGACCTTCACTTCTAATGTTAACGTTCAACTCTCACTTTGAGCTCCTTTATGAAAATAAAACATTCACTCTGACTTCAAATTTGCTTATACTCTCTCTCTTTGTGTTCTTATAATTCAATTTTCCTTTGGAAGTTATACTTCAGAAACAAGGGAGAAATAATTCATTCACAATTTTAACTAAAGATCAAAAGTTCAGTTTGAGACTTTATTTCAAGGGACAGTCTTAAGAAATACTGACCTTTTTCACTACAGTACATCAGGCCATGCCAGCTTTACTCATGAGTTCTGGCCTGAGAAGAAAAATTCACAATCCTTCTAAACTCAGTAACTCTGCCTATATAACTACACACACATCTTCTAATTAAGATTTCATTGAGTATTCAACAAGAAACAACTGCAATTCTACTACATCATGGTAACACTGATGTTATGCTGGTGTGCACTAAGGTACTCCAACAGGTTTGGGTTTGGTTTTGTTTTGCAGGGCTGTTTATCCCCAGTTAGAACTCAAGGCACAGTGGCTCAGGGAGAAAGTCAAGGAAGCGTACTAACAGCAGATTACTTCGTTCATACTTCGTACTTCCAACAGATGACTTTTAAGACCTTCTTACCACTAGTATGCAGTGTGACTGCGGGATAACTTGCAGCTTTTCACATCAGTCTCGTTTAAGGTGCTTCGTAACAGAAGAGAACCCTAACTCTAGCAATACTCGAGTAATAATTACAGAGTATTCCTCTGTTCCAGACATTTAAGTGGCATGCGAGATTACAACACACCAACTGAAAAAAAAAACAATTAAGGAGTTTACAAAACTGCCTTGTCACATTCAAGTTAAAAATGTTACGAATCCCTTATGCATAATGAAGCAAGATAAAATGGAAGGACAAACCTATCTGAATTTTAAATTAGTACTTTTGAAAACTTGCACAACCTATCTTGATCTCTCCAGCAGAGCACGCAGCCTAGAGAGATCAGACAATTTGCTCTGGTGAACTAGCTTTTAGCTTCAATACCTAAGTTTCTCCTTTCAGTTAGGTCACATCCCTTAGCTTGTATCATTTTGCAAGCTCTGACCATGTTTACTGTAGAGTCTAATACAAGCCTTTTTCAGTTTCATCAGTTAAATCCCAGCAAAAGAGTTATGAAAAGAGTTTCTTGTTCAGTTTGATTTTAATGTACGCACAGCATCTGTAAGGAGAAGCCAAGATGGCCAAAATAGCTTGTATATATTAATTTTAGCAGAGACTTAAGGCTACACACTGTGTTGCTGAAGATTTCCCCTACCTTCTGCTAGCTTTATATGGGTTTGCAGTGTCAACATCAGCTTCAAGCAAACCGAGTTGCTCTTCTGTGGATTTTCAAAGTCTTCAAGATTGTTTGGGGTACAAGTAAATTCTTTCTACTTGCCACTAATCTCTAGTTCCTGAAATAGCAGTGACCTTCAGACAGCTTTTTACTGTATTGTACCAAGGAAGCCTGGATGAGCCAGTCATTTAGGTTATGAATGCCTGAAATCCCCTCACTCTGCTTTTATACATATTTTAGGATGAAAGCAAAGACAAGAAATTGAAAGGGAAGGAACAAAAATCACGAATCCAGCCACAACAGAAAAGTAAACAGAGGTAGGTCTGGGAACTACTGGGCAACTCTCCCAATGTCCTACAAGCAGGATTCATTTACTGCGTTATTTCCAGGACTTCTTCCCCTGCCATTTTTTGGAGTAAATCATTTTATGCCAAGAGTCAGACAGAACGTGTTCTGTGGTAAAAGGAGTTCCACAAAAGAAACACAAAGATACTGCAGGGAGGGATGAGTATCTGCATATTACATATTCAAAAAGCTCTCTCTCTTTTAATTAAAAACTGAAAGGGAAAAAACAAGCAGCAATTCAGAAAGTGAGGAAACATGCTGAGAAAAATATATAAAGCAGTACTTGTCCAAGACGGAAGATGATCGATCTAATTTCACATCCAGCAAGACTGACCCAATAACCAGGCTGGAAATAGCCAATGTTTATCCAGCTTGCTCTTAAATGACCTTCCTGGGATCCCCCGAACCAGAGACTATTTAAGAATTTAAATCTGGCCTCTGTTGATCAGAAGTATTGTGTAGGGTTCATTACATGAAAATATTCAGAAAGAATTAAAGCTAATTAATGATCTACTTCCTTGGCAAGCTTGCTCAGGAAGGGAGTTCAATAAATGCGCCAACACACAGTTCCTTGTTTAGGAACAGTAAACTCGTAGGTCTAAAGCAGAAGGACTACCTTACTGTGTTGAAGTCTAACAAGATTTGAATTTAACATTCTCTTCCATTTTGCCCATTAAGAAAGTTTCAAACTGACATTGTACTTAATGAAATACACTAAAGGAGACAAACTTCAGAGCAGGTAAAACATAGAAGCAAATCACCACAGGGAAAAAGAGCTAACTGTTTCTGTAGAATGATCAGCATTTTAAGAAACTGATAATAGAATTCTAAAATTTATACTACTTTACCTCAAAAAATATCTGTGTCGAGAAAATAATCACAAAGCTTATTAAATAACGTACCTTCTTCATGTACTCTGTGACTGGGTTCTGCTGCAAGAATTCAGTACTTTCTCGTGTATAAAATCTCTCTGTGTCAGCAAGAAACTGAGATTCAAAGGATTCTTTATAGACAGTTAGTGTAGGTCCTTTTGCAAATGCATCATCTTCATTCAGCCCCAGCTCCACTGTAAAAATAAAAAGAGCAAGTAATGACAAAATTGTCTTTTATGAAGTGGTCTCTCGCAAATAAACAGGTACCCTCCTTCTAACTTACACGAAGGTAATCCATTGGGACAGTATCAACACCTGCTTTTAAAAACTTTTAGAAGTATACATTTATTTTGCATTTAAAAAATAAGGAGCAGAAGGCATTACTCATGCAAACTGCACTTTTCGACATGTTACGAAATGGATGACAGGATTTGGAAAACTCCACTACCTCAAAAGCCAGTTCAAACTCCCCTTCCATTTTTCCTCTTAAGAGGAGTTCCAGATTATATACATATATTTTTTTTTTTTTTATTAATGAAACCGGTCATTAATCTGCACAGCAAAACTCATGCAAATGGGAAAAAATAATCCCGCTCCACTTTGTAAATAACTATGCTTGTCCCCTTCCAGATTTAGCTCTTAAGTGACTGATTCGTAAACCATGAACACTGTTGTCTACCGGTTGCGTTTTCATGCTTTACAGATACGGTATACTCAACCGTAATTGTGTCAAGTGTCGCTACAAACGTGAAGTTAAACAATATATAACTGCATTTATTTTACTGTAAAAATCTTTACTGGGCATCCAAGGAGGTGGGAAGCTACTTCTGGGCTTTGATAGTTATTTAGTTTTAAGAGAGTAATAAAACCTCAAAGAAATTTCATTTACCATAAGATTGTACGACTCCACTGATAAGCCTTGTATTGATAGTTTCACCATTTCTTTCCTTTTCAATCAACTTCAACACAGCATTTGTTACCTTAGAAAACAGGGATTAAAAGTAAGTTAAGCATAGAGAAAGCAGCTGGTAGGTCAAGCACAGTATTTAATCAGGATTCAAGACTAGTCAAGCCCCTTGAGAATCAAATTTAAGGACACCTGAACATATAAAATTCCTACACACAGAGCATGCTACACCTTTAATTTCTACAACGTAATTACAGTCCCATTGGTGGCGAGTTGTAGGGTACGAAAGTGCTCGGTCTTGAGCTGAGCCAACCCACCCGTACTTTACAAAAAGACAGCTACTGGCTTATGCTGATAAACAATGTGTTGCAACTACAGTTCCTCTAAATTGAAAGCTAGCTAATATTTTCATAATGTAATACATTCTTTTCATCATGAAGTACTGCTAAATAAGAGTGAATCAACTGACATAAACATAATATTTTGTTGTGATGGAGTATCTTGGTTTATATTGCGCTGATTCACCAATTAAAAATATTTTGTTGACCTGAATCTCCCAGGCAGTGTAAATTTAAAGGTTCATAGTAGTATTAGAAGAGACTAAAATCCTAGGCCTGTCACTGTCCGTTCTCACACAATCTTGACTCTCAAACCTTAAGACATGACCATCAGCCAGCCTGTACTCCTGCCTGGCTTGGGAACAGCTGAAGTTGTCACTTCACTAAGACAAGCCCCCTTTGCCTTTTTTTCTTTTTTCTCTCTTTTTTTTTTTTTTTAAAAAAAAGCCAAGTGTCCTCTCAGCAAAGAGAAAACAGAACAGCCTTGCTATCAAGGTTCAACCACACACACAGAAAAAGGCCCATCCCCTCCAAAATATTTATCTTTTTAACATCACAAAGGAGAAGCAGAAGGGCCCCCCCTTCCTCTCCTCCAAATTATCCTTGGAACAGTTACTAGCAATGTATCAAATTGACCCTAGAGAATAACACTGTAGTTATAACATATATATATGTATATATATTTACCTGCTTATTTAATGGCCTGAACAAGCAGTCTCTCCAGGTCACCAAGGCAAGCTAGAAGCAAAAGGAAAGGAGGTGAAAGATGGAATAAAGAAAATATTTATATATGTACACATATACGTGCAAGATAACTCCTAAAGGAAAGCTGATACACTACACCAAATAATCAGAACTTTTTTTAACTATTATATTTTGGCCCACACATTTCTTATGCAACAAAACTGTTTAACAATAAAATTACCACTTGCTTTATTACTAATCATACCTAAGATGTCCCCTTTTCTGACAGTGATCCACTGCCAACTCTGAAAACTAACAAACTCTGCAAGTTACTCTGACAACATACAGCTTTTTTTGTTGACCATTTTCAGGCTGACACAGTTCCTTAGCGTTAGACTAGTGAAGTTAAGCGGGAGGAAAGTAAGGATACCAACTGTTTTTCTACCATATGCAAAGCTATTTTAGTGAAGTGGTAAAATAACACATCACTTTCTTAATGCTTCACCAGCAAGGACAATAATTATTCTTTGTAAAAGAAAAAAGAAATGTACTTTGAGTTATCTGAGATACAGAACTTCTGCTCTGTTCTCCCCTTGTTTATATTCCTTAACATTACAAAAAGATTATCAAGATCACACATCAATCTTTCAGAACTGTACCAAAATAACTTCTATTACAAACCAAATGTTGACTGAATCTTAGCAGCTTGGATGCTAAAAACTTTGTAGAGATGTAATGAAGTCAACAGAAAGAAATGCAATTTACTTCTCCATTCTGTATTTGGAACACTTGGCTGAATTCTAAATGGAATGACAAGGCCATGCTGATGCACACAGATAACAGTAGAGGTGCAAATATTCAAAACCAGACAACCCTCAACAGTCTAATACTAGTTGTCCCAAAACGTACAAGGCAGATTGAACATCTCACAGGTTTAGACCCATGGAATTTTTTTAATACACTGGGGCGGGACTACGGAAAGGGGGAGATTTCCACTTTGCCCACTTCCTTACAACTTCTATGAACTTCCTACAAGTTTCAAGGAGTGATTTGCAGGGTGATAACGCAAACATGACAGATGGAACTGATAAATCACTCACTCCAAAAAGCTACTTACTGAATAAATTTCATATATTCCTTTACGACCTTCATCACACTCACGACGAACCCAATGTCGATTGAGGTAGGCACATATCCCGTTCAATACCTTGCTTGAAAACCTATAATCTTCCCACTGTTGAGTGTAGAATTTCAGCACACTCTCATCCATCAAATCTTCACCATCCTGAAATAACAAGTTTGCCAGTGCTGTTGGGTAATTTTAAGGTACAACCTAGATATGTAAGGGTGTACAAACTGACTGTGTAACGAATCTACACCATGCAACATATTTATAGGAAACTTCACGCTAATATGTCTACTTCTACACTAATACAGCACAAGGCCAGTATGAGATTTGGAAATTAAAACACTGGTAAAAAAATGCACAGCGTAGACAAAGCTCCAGAAGACACTCCAGTCCCTCCTGTGGGAGAGCGCAAGAGGGCACCACATGAGAAGCAGACAGCGACACTGGTGAGTGCACTAGGTAGAACATGCCAGTGCAATGGTAATGTATTCGACAGGACAACCTCCATAAAAAAATAGCACCCAGCCCCACTGCTGCTACCTGGGGAGCTGAAACAAGTGAGCATGGATGGGGTCTTCTCTGGTACCCTGCCAGATAGTAAATGGAACTCTGTATTCTTGGAAATGGGTATGGCATCACATTTGTTCTCGTTACAGGGGAAAAAAAAAAAAGATTACAAAGTTGTAACACATGGAAGTTTAAGTATCTTTCCAAGCTGGACCACCGCAGCCTGAATGGACAAGGGAATAAAACCAGGAGTGCATTCTGTGTAAAACCTGACATCTTTACACAGCTTCGTAAATTAATTACACAGTAGACTTGATAGGACACCAAGGATTCTTCTATTATTGCTCAAAAACAAAATTCCCGAATGTTAAAAGCATGGTTCCTTTCCAAAAAAATAACTGGGAACCATTCTCTTACAAAGCAGCCCAACATCCAGCTCTATTAGTTTATTTATTAAATTAAGGGCTACCATCAGGCATTTTCAGCATTACTATTATGCTGGTTACTTGGTTAGAATGTCTAGCTACTCTTCTCCAAGATACAGGGCAGGTAACACTACTTCTATAAAACACAGAAACACCACTTTGGCTTGAAGAGGAAAAGCAGCTCACAGGTACACTTAGCCACTGATGTATGCCTGCGGTAAAGCCTTCAAAACATTCTAATGGCTAATGGAGACAAAAAGCAGATTTCAAGATCATTCCGTTTACTTCCAGTGGCTGCATACACCTCTAGGTTTGCTGGTACGGACTGTTCTCAGCCCATGCTGATATGACTACTACAAATGCAGATTGATCTAATGTCCCATCTTACCTTAAGGAGATTTGTCAAGTAGTTCTTCAGAAATTCTTTTAGCCGTTTGTACAATTCCAAGCCAACAAACTGAGCACCTCCAGGTGTCTGGCCCTTTTTCGATTTAGAAGGAGGTACTCCAGCTCCCCGTGCTTGATTAGACTGATGTACACTAGTACAGTAGTTATAAACATGACTGGCAGGAAAGTTAAGAAATACATGTGCGCCAGGATGAGACATTAAAAATACAATGAAAAACAGTATGTTCATTTCAATAAGCTATTTTTATATGACTGTAAATGACTTAACCATAACAAGACGCATTAGCCCACGTAAAATCAAACCAAAGCTAGGAAAATGAAGTAATTTTCAGCCAAATTATCTGCGGCAGAAATTTGTCAGACTGCCTAGCGCACTGCAAACACTGACACCAACATTAAATTCTCCTAACACTTACTTAACAAGACCACCAAGAAAACAGAGCAGTGGAACTTGCTGATAAGATTATTCTCCCGGCTTAAATGGAATTTATTTGATGTATGATACTGGCCTTCTACAGATACATAAGCTTTCATTTGAACAGGAAGAAATTTCAACACTAGCCTCAAGTAACAGTCAGTAGTTGAAAATACAGATGATAACATTTTTGCATTCTTTCAAACACAATCCTTCGTAAAAGATTTGGCCACTTAACACTGGCAGACAGGGGGCAAACCTAGAAAGCAGTAATGGCAAGACACACACACACTCAAAGGCACACCGTAAGATTGGGATTCACCAAAATCCAATTTTAGGCTACAAGTACAATCCCAACTTAAGTATGCAGTAGCAACAATTTTTCCTCTCATACTAATACAGCCTGGAAGATTTGTCACATCTGTCAACAAAGCAGTTCAAGAAAACACTCTGTTTTCTAATCCAAAACATCTAAATATTCAGAATTCTTCTAAAGCATTAAGTGGAAGTCACATTGCTCAGAACACTTCAAATAAGAAAGTCACCTGAAAGAAACTGCACTCCACAAACAAGGAGAATAACCTAGCTCAGTAGCACTCAAGTTCAACTTGATGAGGACTCAGATTTGACAAAAAAAATTACCCCAGTGACTCACCTAGCAAACGATTAGCCAACAGGAACAAAGCTGCTGAGCACTCACGCCTCTACTGACAGTTCGAGGGCAGGCTTTTTAATCACAGAATCATTCAGGTTGGAAAAGACCTTTGAGATCATCGAGTCCAAACATCAACAATGTCCCTTGTTAGAGAACATCAATGTTTGAGTCACATCCCTCGTTAGAGAACATCATTATTAAGCAATCCAGAAGGTCTGATTTGGTTTTAACTTGTGTTTTAACAAATGGGCCAAGCTTTAACCACTAGATAGGCTTCCTTCACAGTATGCCATGTACTAGGAAATGAATGTGTTGCCGAGATCTACCTTTTATCTTGCCCTTCAGAAAGACCAGCGCAATATAATGGAAGACATCAGCCCAATTAAATACCAAGGAATTATAAACCCCAAATATATGATGCATTACAGTCATTATGAACAGACTTGCTTCTAGTATTTAAACAGTTAAGCTCAAGCAGAAAAATCTCTTAAAATACTCAGTTAACTCCCTTACAATTTACTTTTTTTCTGTGAAGCTTTTTTTTTTTTTAAAAAAAAAAAAGCCAAACATATCCCTAAACTGGGTTTAAGGATCAGAGCATCCTGCGTGCCACCACAAACAAGGCTCATGGACTGGGTGTCAAACTGAAAAGAAAGCCTGCTCACGGTCTGTACTCGTGTACTGGTTCAGAAATTTGTCGCATTCTGTCCAAAAGAATAATGCTCTCTGCCCAAGATTAACCCTTTTTGAAAACATACAGCGTACTTTTATTTCTTACCTGTTACCTCATCCAGGTGCCAGACAATCAGATTTCCCATGACCTCAACCAATAACATAAAGCCTTCATTTGTGCTTAGCAACTGAACTGTTATCAGCCTCATTTCCTGGACATTAATGATTTCTTCAAGCTGCTAGCCATTTGTTTGTTCAACTTTCCTGGCACTGTTGCTACTTCTACCACCTACTCTTCGGTTTCAGAATTCCCTGTTCAAGCAAGGAACACCACACAGCATAACAATTTTTCTCTAGATACACAACTTACTTTCTTTTCACAAACAAGAAAAGCAGTTTAACTTTAAAATAGTTAACATAAGGTCTGCTGAATTGTGTATGGAAAGTCTCTTCATCACAACACAAGGAATATAGGGCTGATTCATAAATGCCCAGTTGGCAGTCTTGCCTCCTTCTTCCCCTAACTCTCCTTTCCCATGTGGCTTTCAGCAAGCCTAAAAATACAAGGATTGTCCACATGACAGGTAATCCTTGCAGGTTTTGTGAATACTGCCTGATGAAAATATTTTTCTGGTCTCCAAGAACACTCACCACAGCCTCCAGAAAAATAAAAGACCAAGGTTAGAAGACATAAGCCTTTTTCTAACCTCATACATTTTATTATTAAAACCAGGATTCCTTGCAAGCATTGAGAGAGATTGAGACCTTTCGTCCATGCCTGACAGTAATCAACTCAGAGCTAGGGTAAAAATATACCAGTAATGCCCATCTTTACTTGTTATTCTGGCTTGAGTCTCGCTAGCCAAAGTGTCCAAGACAGCACTTTAGAAATGATCAGTTTATTTCTTCTACGCGAGTCAAACTGAAGTTAGTTTCCCTGTACAGAAGGCAGTTTGCAAGTGTAAAAACTCTGAGATATTATACATAAAAGAATGCTCTCTCACTTTGTTTACAATCTGTGTCCCCACCTGCTAAAGCCAACCACTGACAGAAAGACTGACATATTCAAAACAAAGTCAAACTTGCGCTGCTTACAATGAAGTACATGACAGTCCATCTGAGAACCACAAGGGGAACACTATGAAAAGAATTCTTGTTGCAGAAGGCAAACTAATCCTCTCAACTGCTTCGTATGCTGGAAGCCATATACATACCCAAACAGCTATTAGGAAACACTGCTGTGGGTGTTTGCACAATTCTGCATAGCAACTCGCATACACAACAAGCAGTGAAGTTAATTCACCAATAGAATAGTTTGCACTGCAGTGAAGCTGCGCTGCTCCCCAAGCTTCTGGCTGCTGAACATCAGATTTGGCCCAGTAAACAGACGAACCTACAGGAGGAACAGATCAAGACTGATCTCATCTAACTTCTACACCTTCCTTACAGTGAAGGAGAAACTCCATTTACCTATCTAAATTAAAATGTGAGGTAGAAGACTGCAAGGAAGTCTATAAATTCATTCAGCATTGTGCTGTTTAAGATGAAAAAATCTTTTTCAGAACTGTATTCTTCTCTGAAATCCTTCAAAATGGGATACAAGAAGCAGCCAAAGACAAATTAGTTTTACCACCACTGTCTTCAATATAATTTACTTCTGAGAACCTTGACTCAGTTTCTAAAGCTGGGCAGTGCAAAGGAAAAAAAAAATTCCCATGCTGCGACGCCACAATGGATTTATGGCCTTGTAGGAGATAATTTCCACTGAAGGAAATGATCCTGACACAAAACTCACCTGTAGGGCTTACTTGCCACCTGCTTTTCCAGTAGCATGGGAGTTCATGCAGGCAACCAGTGATTTGGACTGGGGAAGTGACTGCCACTACAACTAATCGCTGTCCCTGTTCCCAGATACTTTGCTGAGCAAATCTGAACTTCTGTGTCCACAAAGGGGAAGTGAAACACGTTCTTTCAGTAGCAGTGCATATATTTTTTGAGCAAGTACACCACCAAAACATAAGCTTGAGCAGGCCATGGTCACCTCTAATCCACCATCCACCCCAGAGAAGTACTGAAATACTCCATACAGCAGTTTTTTCCCTCCAGGAGCAACCGCAAACAGAAATCACGCGAGACAAGTATCAGTTTTGTAATTCAACACAATAGGAAAACACTCAGAGTTTACCCTGGTGGGTGCAAATTACTCAGTTTTGCATGACTCCCTAATCTTAAATTTTTTACAAGGAAAACAGTTCTGCTGAGGTAATAACTGATTCCCCTTTCAGCAGCACAGCTGGGTCCCCACAGTTTTTCCATTTTGCTATGAAAAATTAACAAAACTGGAACAAGTCTGCTTGAGGAACGGATATGTAAAATTAAAAGGAACTGAAAGGGAAGCAGAATTAACACAATTGTGGCACTAAACTATGGGGCAGAGAGAAACGACAACAAAGCTTTTGAAAAGGAGGAAGCACGCAATGATAACATAAGCTGAACAACCCTCTTACCAGAATTTCCCTCATTACATCTAGTCTCTTTGTAACAAAGACCAGTTTTAGGCATAAATTTGCTATTTCACAGATCTTAAGCAGTAATTATGCAAGTGCTCTGTCACCTCAACAGCTGGCCTACAGGAACAAGTTGAGATTAGTTCCACTTTAGTCAAAAATTTGTATTTTCCTAGATTACACCAAAGGCATGCAAGAACAACATACAGAAAGTTACTGAAAATACTGATAGGAAAATTGCTAAGAAAGATTATGGAAGTTTTGTATTCTTCTAAAACCAAACAATACAGCTTATGGTATTTACTGGAGAACAGCTTTACATATTTTCTTCAAAGTTATTAAAGCCATTTTAATTCCTGTGTGTCCAGAAGATTAGGCTGTGCAAACCTCACAAAGCCACCTCACTCATAAGTAAAGCTGCTAAGAGAAGTGGACATGCCTATGTGACTTCAACGTTTCATAAACCAAACAGATGAAGGAATTTTGCACAAGTTTTTGAAATGATGAGGTTGCCAGAAAGCAATCACTCTTCCTAACAAGTGCTTTAAACACCCACTTCAGCTTTGTGAGGAGCAGCAGTATAACAAAAAAAAAAGCTGAAACCTTCATTCTTTTCAGGGAGGTATCAGCAAGAACCTATTACAAGAATGTTCAGTTTGTCATCCAGTAAGGAAGGGTTAACTCCCAGAGCAGTTCCAAGAAAATAAAACAAAACAAAAAAATTAAGACCCTGCCCCCAACTCTGCACATTCTCAATTTGTGTTTCACTTTATCCTAAGATCAATTGCACATTTAAGTCTTAAGATTAGATACAATTGCACTGTTAAATCATCCCTGTTTTAGTCAGGGAAGGACTGAGGCTGGGACTGAAGGAGCTATTACAGCATCAGCCATGCAGCTGTTATG